ACCAGTGACTGTGGGCACTCGTGTACATTTGTGCTGTAAAACCATAGGAGGGTTAACGCCTGCAAGAACAGATACCTATGTACATTGGCTGTAATGTCAATGGAGGGCACCATCAAGAGGCCAAACCATACCAAGTTTTGATAAATTCAGCAGTCATACCAAAGAAATTCTGAGCATACGCTCAAGTGCAAGAATAGCTGAATAAACATCAACTTCTTGACAGTTCCCTCTAGCAATGCAGATGGATATGTATATGTGTGGGCATTATTTAGGAGAATATTGCCCAAATCCAGTCATGGGGCCAGCCTACATAAATTACACCTGTTATGCACAAGGTAGAAGGTTATACACAACTTCCACAGTATTGTCTTCAATCAATTATATCTGAATCCTCCAATCTGATTGGTCAATCCATGGCAACAAACAGTGTGATGTTGTACTGTATATCACACTCCATATCACACCCCGCACATTGATTGCCCTGTTCTAACTCTGCGTACTGTGGTATTCTACGCTTACGCAAAATGTACCGCGGCAGGATTGACTGTAATTCAGAAGTGGTGCTTTTCCGACTCATGCTGATAATCAGACACATTTCAATGTGTGCACACTCATTCCATCTTTACTGCACATTCAACTTGCTTGAGGATAAGTTGGTTATCGCACTTGGGCTCACTGGACACGGAATAATGCAGTGCATCTGTGTCCCGCACAGAACTAATCCCGCGTACAAAATAGAGGACGACGTTAGTGGAAGACGAGAAATGAAAGATGCAAAACCTCTCTTCTGCTTTTTCTTCTTGTCCTCTCCCCCTTCCTCCTCATCTTGCAGGGTCAGCCTCTCAAAGAGGTCAGGGCAGTGGTCAGCTAGCCACTTCTTGCAGTCCTTGTAGGCGGGATTGAACTCGCAGTATTCCACAGGCATTGTACACACTGAAAAGGAAGCAGAGAAAGGAAGTCCAAGTTTGGATGAACTACTGAAGATTAATTCAGGGAAGGTAGGCTGAGAGAAGGCTGTGCACCCAGATGGACGTATTGGCACTTGAACGAGATGGACAGCATTCAAGCGTAGATTGATACTTTGCAAACCTCAGAAGGGACAATATATAAAAGCTGTCATTGAATACACTCAAACAGAAAGACAAACCCGAAGAAATGAAGACAAACTCTACTGTGAACAAATTACCATCATTTTTAAAGGTAGGGACACCATTGATTTTTTGGTCGTAATTTACAAGATTGCCTGATTACGGCGTATAATATTCACTGCAACTTACATTCCACTGACTTGTTTCATGTTTTGAGTCAACTGTCTTGTGAACAATTGAGAAAAACAGTGTAGCATTTGCAACAATTAAATTGCAGATCTTGTAATTCATCTTGCGTAAAATCTCTGAATTCTAGGGCGCTCGCAGTAAGCCAACACCAGCACAGTCAGCATGGGAAACAGGCATGACAGGTTCTCTTTCCCTTAAACAAGGAGCAGTTTTCAATGGCCAGGCATGATAAGTGAATTTACATTAGAGTAATACGCCTCCGCGACAATGTAGCATTGTGGATTCATGAAAAAACTTTATCCAGGAAGGCAGTCGACTCGTGCCTGTGACGATGAAATGAGTAGGCCTATATGATAATGCATGTGCACATGTGATTGTGCTGACAACTACACTTTCACGTCAGTTTACATGTCAATGAAAGTGTAAAAACTCCATTCTTAGTTGACTGACTAAAAATTATAAGCAAAGTGGAAATTATGTTTTGAAACACAGGAGGTTTAATGTGTGGAAATCATACTTTTTGTTGACAAAAATCCTTTCACCGGGCAGCTCGGAAACAGCTACCATATTTGGACCATACCAATATGCTCTAGGGGTAAATTTGAATTCACTAAGTTTTTGCAATAAGAAAATCCTTTCCTAAAATAAAATTTAACTTCACACTGATCCAATTTATTTCCTACTTTACTCCTTACACTCAGTTTCCTATAATTTCAGTTTACAATGGGTTTGGCGAATTTCTGTCCGTCAAATTTTCAGCTGCTTTAGACTCCACACCATTCACAAACACTACACACAAGAAAATTGGTGCCTGCTAAAGAATGTGATGTGCGAAATGAAATGAACTCATGGTCAGCTGACCATCGTGAAAAAAGAGAACAAAATTTCTGTTTTCTCGAAAACTACAGCATGCTGGACGGAAATATTTTACAGGCTGATTGAGGCTGTTACGTACTTTCTTTCAGTAAGATAATTCAGGTTATATGGTATTCTGATTTGGGGGATTTTGCCAATGGTGTACTACCTTCAAGGAAAGTATGCTGAGAAGGGTTAGCTCGTGGTGAGTTCTTTTAGGGTTATAAACAGGTTTGTATGGAGGACGACTTCATCCCTACCTCCACAGTACAAGACTTTCAGGGGGTATGACGCATCTTTCTTTTTTTTCGACTTCTTCGGTCGCATCTCCTGGACGTCTTCATTCACATCAACTTGGTGACCGCCCTCCGCTTCTGCCATGACTGACTACCAGACTGTGTGGCATGCAGAATCTACATGGAAAAAAAAACAGGTGAGGTTACGAGAGTCCCATCAATGTATCACGGAACCTGCTGGCCAGAATGCAGATGCCAAAATGGACAACCAGGCCACAAACCATCACAAAACTTTACAAAGTCAGGATTGAAATGCAAAGTACTCCCATTTTGGTCAGATCAAGTTGCATTATGACCTACATTGTTTTATTGACATTTGGGAGTCTGGTTGGCGTAGTGGTTCTTTTTTCACCTGCCACCTCTGCGGCCCGGGTTTGAATCCTGGCCCGGTCCACATGTGGATTGGGTTTTCAGTCCCTACCTGATTCCCTGGGTTTTACCCAGAATATTCCTCTGGGGTTTTCCTCCCACCTCTAAACTGTAACTGCTTCTCATTGTCTCCTCTCTACAAGTTTCTTCAGGCTTGCGAGCTACAGTGCCTAGGGTGCTTTTGAAGAATCCTTGGTGTCATTACCAGAAATATATATAATAATAATGTGATTCATAAAGTTCAATTCAATTTTATCCAACCCGTACCCTGCAAATGGCAAGGAAGGGTGCGTACCTTATTGACAACCTACATGTACAGTTATGTCATGAATTTCAAGTTCAATAACAGCATTTGCTCCTGGTAATGTGTTATTATAGGCCTGTTCCCACTTCAGCCTGTCAACCCAGGTTGAACTCAACCCTGGGCAAGCCCATGGCTGCACTGGGTTGAAAATTGGATTTTCCAACCCTAGATTCAACCCGGCATTGTTTCACACTTGCTTCCTGTGAATTAGGCTTAACGGGGTGAGTTCAACCCGGAAGTGAGCACACACAAACAACTTTCAACCTGGGTTGAGATTTTGAGCTACACAGTGCGACACGGAAAAATGAAAAAGGAAGGGGCCGCGGCGTGTAGCAAAAAAGTGCTACACCATAGACTTGTGCACAAACACGGTGCTACGCAGTGCCTACACGTCAGTTCTACGCGTACGCGGACACGTGATGCTTTCACAGCGTACCTGTGAACTTCTGCTCGTTAATGCGCATGCTCAGTTCTGCTGCGGTGTAGCGGTGCTACAAGGAAGACCATGTGGATTCAGCTGTCTCATTTCTGGCTGCATATGGTGCCAGCAATTCCCTGCGATTCCTACTTAAAACCCCAAAAAACAAGGCAGACGAAGAAATTAGAACAAGAAAGTCAGACAGTTCACTCTTATCAAATGTATTAGTTAGTTCCATTGCTGCAAACTCCAAGTGCTTTGAAGCATAGAGGAATAAAAACACATGTTTGAAGTAGGCCTATAAATTAGTAGACCTATAACTATATAGTATACCGATATGCAACACACACATCAACTTAAAAACTCTTTCTTCAATAGATCATGGAGGTCTGGAGGTAGCCTCCATGACTAGATCTTTGTTCAAGCGGACTCGGTTGAGAACATGGATGGTTGAGAAGTTTAAAAACATCAGTCACACCATCATGGCCACAGCCCCACTACGACATCCAACACCTACTCTACCCTCTCTCTCCGTGTGTCTGCAACGTACTGTTAAAGATGCAGATACAAAATGATGCTATCATTAGCAGCAGCTTGTTTCATTACCCGTCAATCTGAACACAGCTGGTTTTTACGAAAGAGCACAAGCAAACCCAAGCTCTGCCACTCCGGTCCCGTTCGTTCGTCTGTTCTTAAGCTCCGGACAAACTAGGAGGAGCAGGACAAATGGCCACTTCCAAAAAAACCAGAAACCGCGGCTGGCGCATGGTCCGCGCGCAGTTAACGACCATTCGCGAACGGGTACCTGCAGTGAGTGTCCAACGAATCGGTTTCTATATTAAATTAGCTTTTCTCTGTTCATCTGTTTCTATCGGTAAAATACCATCCTACCCATCAAAAGTGAATTCTCAGAAATGTTTCATAAAAGACAAAATGGACGCTTGTTAATGATTATTAAAATGGACGCTTGTTAATAATTATTAAAATGACGTTTTGGTTACTTTCCACGTGGAATTGTTTAAGGTCAATGAATAATCACGTCTTATCAATAACCAATCTGAAGTCAAGCACTTTCCAAACAAAATTAATGTGCGCTTCCCAGGCGTCCACTATCTTTGTGTTAACTATGGCTTGCAAAGGGAGCCCGACTACTTCCAGTACAAAAATAAATAAGTTCAAAAAAGTGCCCGCGATGCTGCGCTGTGCAGTGCTGTCGAAGTGGCGATCGAAGTTTTCTTTTTCTCCCAACATTTTGGTAAGAATTTTGGTGTTTAATCATAACATTAACAGTGGTTACAAGACACGCAAAAGTTAAGCTTGTATCATTTGCAACAGTTTAATAGCTTATCTTTAGCTAAAATGACTGACATGACTGACCGGTAGGCCAACTGAGCTCGGTCTGCAAGTGCACTAAGCCGTAAGCGTGTGTGTGTTGTGTAGCTGCGCATGGAGCCGGAGCTGATCGGACTGGGCCCGAGGAAGTCGCCATATGTGAAGGGGAAAGAGTTTCAACTTTTATATACGGACAACACTTGAAGTTGATGCCCCTGTGAACAAACCTATGACTCTGGGTCCTGTCAGTGTTAGATCAGTGTTAGAGATGATGTAATCTGGTGCTAAGTTGATTACTTAATTGATAATTCATAATTGTCTTTGATCGTGTTTGACTGGACTGGTGGCATATGTCAAGAATGTTGTGTGCATGGTGTATTTAGATATGTAAGAAATAAAATGTAACTTACCAAGCTTGGGTAAATGCAGCCTTTTCTTTGCCCAGTCTCAAATGACATGTTTGACCTTCAGGTAGCTTTTCTGAAATCATGACCATCAGGACTAATTTTAGCTAGACTTTTTACTTACTTTTTTTTCGGTATCTACATTGTATGCTGCCGTTGCATATTTACTTAATTTTTTGTGTTTTTTCTGACAAGTGTTTTGACATTTTATGTATAGGCACAGTAATCACCTTGTAATGGAAAACCACTCCTTCTCCACTGCTGCTTTTGGCCATAGTCACAGAGACTTCACACCAGTCAGCAAAAGACCCTCTCGAATGACAGGAGGTACAACACCGCCCCTTCACTGAAGTTATAAGCTGCTTCCAAAATTACTGGCTATGGCAGCAAAAAGCGTCTGGCCATACTGTGTATGTGTGTTACTGTCAGCCACAGCCAAGACTTTTGGACTTAGCCACACAGATATGGTGGTGCTTTTCTTGATGTAAAGTGTTTCTACTGTTATGACCAAGAATTGAGGCCCAGATGAGGATTCAGCTGGTGTGGGAGACTAGTCCTCTGTACGATGATACGTGAATACATTAAATGACCTACAGCCTAGCAGTTTGTTGACAGATCTCAAAAGCGTTTGTTCTGTTTGTGTTTCAAAAACAAATTGTAGGGAAGATCAAAGCATGTTGGACAGCCCCATTATCTTTTAACCTACTGATAGAATATCCCCACATCTAAATCAGGTTGTTTACATTTTACTCTGTTTTCAAATGTGTGTTTATTTATTCTCTGTCAGATGCGCGCCTTAGAAAACACATCAATTCCTACTTGAATTTGTTGGAATTTGTTCATTTTCCCTCTGACCATTGTTGAAGGTAATGCTAAGAGCAGCTACGAGCCTTATCACAGCACACCTTTGACAACAACGCCCCCCGGCCCTGCCCACATATCCTTCTCTGTGTCCTCTGTACCTGTCAATCATTCTTCTGCTCCTACCCTCGGCTATGCACGGTCATCTCCTACTGAGAAGGGTCCCAAGAGCTCGCCTAGTGTTAGAATGGGGAGAACATCACTGAGTCCGAGTCGAGTTCGTGGCTTGAGTCCAACAAGAGGCTATGGATCATCCCCACCTCGGCATGTGAGTAGTGGTTGCCATGGCACTGCATGACTTCCTAATGGGCCCCGTCAAATTCGTCTTTCAACTGCACAGGTAGCGACCCCCATATTGGCAGAAATCCAACTCTTGAGTCGACTTCATCTTAAAAGATTCTGTTTAATCACAGTCGAATTGGCCCCCTTGCGTGTTCAAGTGTGTCTAGTCTTTCTGAAAAAATCCATCACACATGCTAGTTGGATGGTTATGAAGGTGAAATCGAGCCTAAATCTGCTATTGTATGTTTTGAAAACAACTTTGGTATTGAAACTTTTTGGTTGCAAAAAGTGTTGGATTATTGCAGATATAACAGGAAAGATCTGTGTAAGATTGGTTGGAATCAATTGTTTCCTCATTCCAGGGTTACGTATCCGAGCTGGAGACTACCACCATCCAGAAACAGCGCAAGGAGCTGCATCTCCTCATTGGCGAGCTTCAAGACCGAGACAGGGAACTCAACGAGATGGTAGCATCTCACCAGAAACAGCTCCTAGCCTGGGAACAGGATCGTCAGAAACTCTTGACACTGGAGCAGCGCTATTCCAGGCTAGAAGGTATCTCCAACACAGATTTAAAGGTTTCCGAACTCAACGGTCAGGTCCCAATGAGGTCATCAAGAAACAGTTGCTTGTTTTGCATGCAGTGATTACGACTGTTGCCTTGCACAGTATATACACTCACTTTGTTCACTACATTTTAGACCAAGGATCGTCTAGTTCGTCTTTGCTTGTTCTCTCTTCTGCTCACAGGTCTCAAAAATTCAGTCACTCCTTTCCTCTCCATCTGGAGTCAAATCTGCTCTATCCCACGAAATCTACGATATTGAATAGGTTCACTGGTTTTCAGGTTACTTCTAGGCTGCTGTACGATTCTGTGATTAGCATTACAGATTTTTACCAACTTGCTTCTCCACCCTAACTCTCTGGAGTATTTCAGCTAGATATCCTGCCTGACTCATCAGTCTGTATTATTTGGAAAAGTGGCTTGCCTGCCCAGTGTAATAAGATTTAGCAGGTCAGCTCTCCCCAAGGCCAAACAGCCTGGGAGTCTGTGGTTGCCAGCCACCACAAGATCCAAGAGTGGCATTCGATCAGACCATAATCTTAACTCAGATAGTTTTGGGCTGCTGTTGATTGCACAGTGCATCAAAGTGGACCAGATTTTTTACACCTGCTGCACTATGCCGCATCTAGCATAGTTAGGATTAAAGATCTTTTTCTATTCATTTCACCGTACAGCTGAGCTCAAGAGTCGGACTGAGCAGGTGAAAACCCAGACGACCAAATTAAAGGTGCTTGAATCGCAGGAACAGTCCAAAGAGCTTGCCCTGCAGTCCACCCAGAAACAACTGGAGCAGATGTCCGAACAGGCCAGCTCAGCCTCCAGACAAGTGAAAGAAATGGAAGTGAGTGATCAACACTAGATGCCTTATTTACCACCGTGGTGGTTTATTTTGTGTTTCTTTTCCTTGTGGAATTGTCTTGAGGAAAGCGGAAAATGACGAGTTCCTGAGAGGTTATCTGACTTCAAAGTGAACTTAGCATTCCTAGAACGTTTCCGGATCTTTCCATGAAGTAACTGTCACCTACCAGTGCAGGGGTGGGGTCAAGTCCCTCAGAGGATTGGTCACAAGTCCTTTCAGAAGTCCAGTCGCAAGCCTAGTCACGAGTAGGAAGATGAACGATGCCAAAGGGATGCTTTTGTCGCTGTTCATTTGAATACATGTAGTTTGTGATTTGGCTTAAGACCAGTTGACTTGTGATGGACTTGTGATTTAACTACATCCCTACTCCAGATGCATCTGTGACGAATGGTGGACTTTCTACAAATTGATGCTGCTTTATGGAATCTCCACAATTTGCAGTGTTGGATGTGACATTATTTAAGTGAAACTGGCTGGAATCTTCATTCTTGCAGGATCACAGTGAGCAGCTGAATTCCCTCATCCGTGACCTTTCCAGCAAAGTGGGTCAGTTTGAGGCCAGAGAACAAGAATTGCTGACAATGTTGAAACTCAAGGTGAGGGAAAACCAAGTTAAAAAAAGGTGCCAATTCAATATGATAACCAGATTTTTCCAAATCACAGTACTCCTCGCCTTTTTCTCTTGGGCTGCCTGGTCTGTACGGCCAACTGCGTTCATCACTTTTCCCTGAGCTTCTCTTGAAGTTGAGACAATGTTTTAAAAATGTTGTTTGTCCACTCTCAGTCTTCGATTTGCCAGTGGCTGCAAAGAAAATTTGAATAAACTCTTTTCTTGCATTTTGGGTTTTCTGTCTGATGACAGTTTCTTTTTTTTCTTCAGGACAACGAATTAGCTGAGGCATCAGCTCACATCTCAGACATGAGTAGCAAGCTGAAGCGATTGGACCATGCAAATAAGGTACTATCGTCACTAATAGTTGAGAAGCTTTGCTAGTTGTTGCTGCAGAGAGCTGGCATTGTAGAGAAATGTTTACAAGGTCAAGAGCTTCCAGGAAATACAAGGTCTTCTGTAGTACAGGAAGTGTAGAAGGTAGTGAATTTTGTGGCACACAAAGCCAAGCATGGGCATTTGGTCTGTCTGATTCATGTGTAAATAATGGAGAGTTTTCCAGTTTTCAATTGAATTTGCACAAAGCAGTGATATCATGTGACAGGAAGTTTCCTGAGCTGACAAACATGACAAATAGTGCCATTGAGCTTTTGACAGGACTCTGTTGCCATTTCTCTTCTCAAGCCGCAGTTACGTTTAAATGCATACTCTTCATTTCATGTTTTTGTTGACCTCTGACCCAGGCTTCTTTCGTCACTGTCAATCTGTTCTCTCCATTTTCTATGAATTGGATGTACATATTTCTTTCGCTCCTTCAAGGAAATTCGCCACACTGAAGCAGCTACAAGAAAAGACTTGGCCGCAGCAAGACAGAAGTACAACGAAATCAAACAAGAACTGGAAAAACTGACTGGTGAGTTACACACCTCTTTGATAAAGATGTCTCTGTCCCACTTAGAATAGAGTCCCGATGTTTGACTAGCTGCGTCGGAATCAATTTTGTTCACGACTGTGGCTTGTGACAGCAGCCTACCAGTGACTGATAGCCGCAGTCGTAGACAAAGACAGCCTTGTTTGAACCACTGTGGCCTTGTGACAGAGATGGCAAAACTTTCAAAGTCTAATCATGAATTTTCCTTCATGTTAAACAGGCCAATTGAATGACCAGAACAACACTAATACAGAGCAGAGCATAGAGCTGAGCCAACTTCAGGGAGATATACAGGCTTTACAGCAGGAGATCACACTATCAGGTAAGTAAATAAAAACCACCCTAAAATTACCTACTTCGCTGATAAAAGCATTTGTATATTGAACGGACAATTAACATGCACGTAATGTATTACTTCCTTATACATGTATTTACCCTTTTTTGCTTGCCTTTGTTACACCCTCTTAAGTTGTGCTAGGAGTCTACCGGGTTGGTAAAGTCAACTCCTTACAGACTTCAGGGCTTAAGTTTTCAATTGCTTTTGTAAGATCTAGCTCTAAATGATTAATCCAGTTGAGCAAGTTATATTGCATCTCATGCACCACCCACTGCTTATATGAATGAAACCCAACCGCCCAAACCTACCAAGCCAGGTACTCCTGATATCGATCAAAACTGACCAAGAAATCAGGTGATATGTTGAGAAATAATAACCCAGGCAGCTTTGTGTGAGACACTGACAGCGAGATAAAACCTCCAGCGTAATTGTTTTCTACAGATCTGCCGACAAAGCACATAGGAAAATTAGTTGTTCCAAGGGATTTACTTGTTTTGCTTTTTGGCCGGGGGGCCGGGGGGCCAAAGGTGAGAGAGAAAAGAGAAAAGACCAGCTTCTGGAGTTGCAGCGCTCCAAGCAGGAGAGGACGGATGCTGAACTGACCAACTTGAGACAAGTCTACGAGAGGCAACAACGGGATCTGTCACTCTTGCAACTCAACCTGGATAGCAGGAACGAAGTTCTCCACAGGTCACAGCTCAACAACTCACAGTGAGTGACTCACTACACACTCACGCTCTAGGTTGATGCCCATTGATATTCTTAGTCTCAAACCTACATGTAATCAAGACGACATTGAATAGATTTGGGTGCTTTGTAACTTTATTTTGGTATGAATAGTTGGTATATTGTAAGTAAGAATTCATTGATTCTGGCTTGTAACTCAAATTTCAAAATGAGTTGCTACTCACTAATTTTCACAAACCTCCATTCCGGAAGGATACTCTTTGGGCTGTCATTCGTCAAGCATAGTAGGAATGCAATAATTTTTACTTTTTATATTGCTGTGAGTAATAATTACTCGGATTACTCATCGCTTACAGATTTTTCCATAGGTTGTGAGCGATTGGTCATCAAAATCGGTAATTTTTCTGTTGTAGACATGATGATCTTGGTCGCAGCCACAACACATCCAGATCCCCTGCCAATGTGTCTGGCAAGAGCCGGGATTCATCGCTGCATAATGCTAGCCTGATAGGGGGTGCCCTCGTAGAAAACCACGGGGACCACGGAGTCCCTGACCTCAGCAGTGGGGACACAGAGGAACTACTGACAGCTGACTCATCAGGAGAGGTCAGATGCCTGGCCTAATGTCTTGGTGCTGCTTTAAAGTTATCAGAAAAGTTGTGCTTACCATAGCAAAAAAATCACACTGCTTCCTTATAAGGGCTGTTTCATAGCACGGTTGGAATGATGACAAGCACACAGAGATTTCCATGATTGCGTCACTTATTCAAGTAACCTTTTCTTCCCGGCTTAAGCTTGCTTTGATATATTTACTGTTTAACAGTATTCATGAAACAGACAAAGGCTCTGTTATTACAAAATCAGACGTTAGGCAGCACTATGAAATTGGACCTTCTCTCTCACCATTATGTGTTAGACATTTGCCACTGAAATGCTAAGCTCTGAGCATAATAAGAAGCACCCCCTCATTGGTTGAAAGAGCCGTGCTGATGGGGAGTGTATAAGGGCCATGTGAAGTAATTGTCATAAGGGAAATTCCAGAAATTAGGAGTCCAAACGTGTAACATTTTTGTGTCCCTGTTACGTCTGACCTTTGTTATTTGACATGGAAATATCGTCGAAATTGATTTCAAACTGTTACTATTTGTTTGGCTGGTAATTCGCATTAATTCATCGCTCTTGGAAAATAAAAAATGTGGTCTGAATTTACAAAATCACATGTCAGATGTAACAGGGACACAAAAAATTGACCCCTAATTTCTGGAATTACCCATTAGTCTCTGCAAGTCCATCAAAAATCCATCACAAATCATTTGTTATTCAACCAAGTCACAAGCTAAACCAGATGAGCAGTAACTTAAGCTTTCGTCTGTCAAATCGTGGTTCATCCTATTACATGCAACTGGTCTCGTGAAAGGACTTGTGAGGGACTTGTGATGGGACTCGAGATGGACTCGATTACACAAGTGATAACTGTTTGACTTGTTTTCTGTTATTTCATTTGCCACAGACTCCAGCTGAGGAAACGTCGCCTACCAGCAAACTACACCGTCTCCTGACTGAGTCTCGGCAGATGGTGCAGAACCTGGAAGAGACTACACTGCCCCCGTACATCAACAAACCAAACAAGGTATGAGCTTTCTGTATACTCGACGCACAGAAAACCTATCTGCATCCCAGCAGTTCCAAAGGTCTGTTTAGCGTGGAAGTTTGAGAGGGAATTCCTCCTCACGGTTCTTGTCCATATTTTTGTATCTGTTCTGTCTCAGCGAAATTGAATTCAAGTAGTGAATTTACCCTTTGCATTTCTTGACAGGATGACTCCAGAAGTCCACCAGCAGGGACCCAGGAGTAGCCAAGTTCTTGTGTAATTGGCTGTGGATGTGGATCATTGAGGGCGCTCTTTGGCTTTCTCAGGAAGGCAGATAGGAGAGTAGGCCCTACCTGGATCGTACATACATCAATGTGTGCTCTCTTAATGTCGAGCAAACCATCAAAACAGTGCACAGAACGTGCTACTGATTTTGTGCCATACAAAGAATATAGAAAAAAAGTGCCTGCGCTGAGTTTGAAAGTACTGCCTTTTTACCGGTAGACGGCTAGTGTATGCACAGACCCAAAACACAAGATTTAGTAAGCCAGAGAAACTCAGGAACTAAAACAGTAGTTGGAGTGAGATGGAAAAAGACAAGACAAATAGACATGTACATAATACAAAGATGCACTGATAGCGAACATGTTGTGTGATTAGGGAAGCTTGTAGAGTACGTACTGTTGAGTGAAGCCAAAAAAAAACCTTGTGTGTGATTTTTAAGTGGAAACGGTGTGCCTGCCTACCAACCTGGCTAAAATAATTATCAAATTATTTGAATGTTTAGTGATGTCATCGCTATGACAATCCCACAAAATATTGCAGAACACATGTGATGTGTTTTCAGGCTTTTCCTTTCCATTAGAAAGTTGAAATAGATGTATAACTTCTTCTTTATACAAGTTGAAACTGAATGAGCAACTCTAACTTTTACTGCAAACAGTGAATTAATCAACCTACATTCCAAGGCTGACGAATTGATAGGGTTATAGAAAGAAAGGTATTAAAACCCTGTTAGTGGTTTGGGATTTCCATTAAACTTCATGGTTTGCATCTTGGTGACAGTCTTTTGGACACTAACAATTCTGTATCTATAAATTGACATATTTTTCATGCACTTAAAAAATGGAAAAATTGATGGTTGATTTTATATTTGGTCTAGAACACCCATCTGAAAATCACTCAAAAACCACGGGAAAAGTGGCATCTTTCTCAGTATTTCTCACCTTTTGCAAACTAAACAAAAAACTGCCTTTGAAATGGACATTTTGTGAAAGAAATTGAGTCAGTGATATGACTTACACAACTGATATGCACGATAATTTAGTAAGACCCCAGTACTCTTGAAGTGACATTTAGAGGAGATCAGAACGTGAAGACAGTATTTGCCAGATAATGGCAAAGAAGCACTTTCTTCCGCTATTTATATAGAAATTTAAACAAAATCAACTGTGGAACACTGGTTTGGAAAGTAATTTTCTATTTACATTGTTGATTTTCCAGACATAGAATGATGACAAGAATTCTTGTAAACTTTCTTTAATCCAAACATAGTTGCAATAAGAAATACAAATATCGATTTGAAAAAGTATTTGGTAGTGTTTTTCGGCAAGGGAATATTAGGTTTTTTTACATTGAAAGATGCACTGCCTTAATTGTTTTTACTCTTGTAGTTATATCTTTAGGAATTGTACATAGCATTTTTAACCATCCAGCAATGAAAAATACCTGCCGCCTGTTGAGTGAAATATTTATTTACTTTTATTTTTTATAATTTTTTGGTTCTGAAGCCTAATTACAAGAAATGTATACATATTTAGACTTAATTTTTACTTCAAATTAATTTTTATCATTTTTTGTAAATGTCGTCTACGGCACATTTCTAGAGACATTTATAAAAGCATGCAGTGAATTCTTTGCTACTCAGTTTTTCACAACTCATTTTTTTTTGCAGATTTACCTGAATTGAGAAAGCTTATGATGTGATGTCAGTTTTGCTATGACGCTCAAAAAAAGTACAATTCAGCTTTTGTGTTTTGTGATTGGTTGAATTTCTATTTGCTTTTGGGTGGATTGAAATCCTACGTAGCTATAATTACATTTTTTATTACTGTTGCTCTTCTTGAAAAATATTTGTACTTTTTTCAATATAGGAAGTTCTGTTTTGTTCCGTTTAAAAGTGTGGAATAAAATTCTAGAAGCTATTTTATACAGAAAGGTGTGGTGCAATTGAAACTTCTATTATCTGGAGGTTTGTCCCAAGTACATGTACATGTACGATGTCGGTAAGAAAACACGTGAATGTGTAAAGTTTTAACAGTTGAAAACTAAAATTCTGTACTTTTGAGTGTACAGATTTAACAGACAAGTCACAAATTGACATCTTCATCATTAAAGTGTAATATGCCTCATGAAATTTTCATGAATAAACGTAGGGAATCCTTTATTATTCTACAAAAAAAATTGTTTTTTCATTGTACAAATAGTACCGCGAAGCTCTTTATCCAACTGGTGGCGCTGGAGGGCGCTCTTTAATTTACATTGACAACGGAAACTTTCAGAATTACCGGACGATATACAGTCATGACAGTTTTAGAATTGCCAGACGATAGTTCTTTTCTGTGTGACTGGTAAGATTTTACATCACATTTTTCTCTCTAGTTCACGATTCATAAAAGTCTGATATTTTACACACAGTGCGAAAACATTCTCATTAGCAATACGAAGAAGTTTGGATGTAGATCAGACTCGGATCGATCACTGGCTCAAGACTTGAGTCAAGTGTTGGAGCAATACTGAAAATTTGTCCAGTGGGAAATGGGTAAATGCTTGATAGGCGTAGGCGTAGGAACTGCCAGACAATGTTCTACAACAAGATTCACTGGGGATTAGTCGCTGTTGACATAAACAGAAAACTCTTAAGCTTACAAAAATCCATTCTCCTCTTGGGAATTATTACCGGATGTTTTTCTTTCCCTGCACTCCTACAAAGCATCCTGAATCATTTGTAGAGGCTTGAAACCCTTCAATCTAACAGGTCTCCAGTGTTAAATCTGTAGGTTTTGGTTTTACACTCCATTTACACTCCATCCACCCATGAACTGTGTATCCACCAATGTGTGTGAGTCTTCAAATATATGAAGTTGGTAGGCCTACATCAGTTAGAAGAAGAAGTAGATTTTAGACAGTGTGTATGCTTAGCCCACATGTACGTATAAAACTCTACTTCTTGTACTATACTAGTAGGCCCGAGGCCTACTCTGTGTGACTTAAAGACAGTAGTTTATGCGGGATCCTAATACTGTGTCCTTTTGGATCCAGTTTTTGTGGTGTTGAATCAGGTAAAGCAAACTCCTCTTTTCAATCATAAATTTTCCCATGAGAGCACCCCTGGTGTACCTACAGCTCTTAAAAATGGTGTAACAGAGGTTTTCAGACCATGAGACCAGACCAAGTATCTTTTGAAAAATATGACATTTTTGTCACCAATTGTCTTTCTTTTCCACCCGACGATGATCGCACCTTTTATGCTGTTTGTGTTTATCACATTGTGCCTACATGTGTACGTACATGTACATGTAGGTCCAGCCAATGGACAAGCTTGCTCTTCATGTCAGTTTGACCATTTTCGGAGGGGGCAGGTGGATTCTAATATCTTGCAATCTGTCACAGCTACACAGTGCCACACATACCTCGCATGCTGATGATATCAGCTCAGGTTGTGCAATGAAAACAAGATGCCACCGTATGACTCTATGAAGAGGTCGATGCCCATGATATTTATGTTATATGTATTCAAAATGGCATATTTATGGCTTTAAAAAAAAATTCTGTTTGGAGTGAAATTGAATGCATTTTGGTCCTTGGAAGACTGAAAAATTCATCTGCTTTAATTTCTTGCTCAGAACAAAAAAGTCGGGGATGATTCAGTGGCCCATCCCCCCACCTCAAAAAGTGTGGGGGAGGGATACATGCCCCCATCCCCTGTGGGATTTACACACATGGGTTCATACATGTATGTCATATACTCCACCTTTCCTTGCTCAAAAAATATCGTAGTTTTAGGGGTAAGCCTAATACATGTACATGTACATGTACAGCATCTACATGTATACTTGGGGTGGTCCCAACTATAGTTGGGACTGGCCCAAGTATAGTTGGGGCCATAGCCATAGTTGGGACGTAACAATGCCAATGTTACCCCTAGGCTATAGTTCGAGGGGCATGCTAATTTTGCACTGCATAGTGGAAAACAACATTTAGGCCAACAATAACACTACTCTTACAACTTTTTGACAGTAGCACACTTGACTGAGAAGAGAGATTTACAATGATTCGACGAGACAGTCCCTCACGGGCCGTGGCCCTTGACCTGATGCTAAGGACTTTCATGAATTCCTCTGACTTCAACAACATGCAGAGCAAGAACTGGGAGGCTATTGCCAAGCTCATACCTGGTACAACGCCACAAGAGGTACAGGATGTAATCTTGGCAAGCCAAACCATGTCGACCTTTCCCCTACATGCCTCCCTCGGTTACTCACCACCAGGCCTCCTCCGAGCACCGTCACGGCTTCTTTCAAGTACTGTACCTCCAAGTTGCTCCCCGTGTCCCCTCCAAGTCCCTCTCTCCCAAGATTGCCTCTTAAAGTCGCCTCCAAGCCTTCCACCATTCTTCCCTTCAAGCGCTCATTAATGTTCAACTTGCCACGAAGCTTTTTCCCCTGTGTAACCCCCCGCTTACATGCACATGTACATAGTCCCACACTAAAGATGACCCACCGTTTTTTTCCTTCTTTGGAATTTTTGCCTCCCCACTACTTCAAAGATCACCGACAATCTGTAAGGCAGGATGCATGTGGTTGCCCAATCAAGGCGGTTTCCTTGGGACTACCCCAATCAGGGTGTCCAGTATTCTCTGTTGGGTTAATTTTGTGTTAATATGTAGCCTAAATATATCCGTATTGGGGAAGAATATTACACATGTATATATCCTGATCAGTGTAGAATCATTATTCCTTTGGGTAGTTCTGTATGCTAGAGGATTATTTCTTTGAATCTCTCCTGTTAAGAAAATTTGTTTCAAATCTACAATTTCTAAAATAAAATTCAAAGAATTTTTTGAAATATGATTTCAGTGTGCCAAAAGGTTCCAGGAGCTGCAGTCAGCCGCAGGGGACCTGTCTCCAGTTGGAGACTTCACAGGCCTGGCTGCCCGGGGCAAGCCTGCCCCTAGAGGGCGCCCCGGCAGTGCAACATTGAAATATCAGCGGCCCCTTGCCACAAGCACCAGCGAAGAGAAGCGTGGTGACCAGAGACAGGGCGGCAAGGAGGTACAAAAGGGTGAGTAGAGCCGTGCCTAATTATTTGGCTACGGCTTGACATTAAATACGGCTGTAAGATAGCAGCCAGAGCCTTTTACCTTAGAGTCATGTGCAGTATCAAGCCACAGCCTAGTAATTCAGACACGGGCTTGGTTTTATAGGCTGTAACCAGGAACTGGCATGTTCTTCATAAAATGGACCAAAATGCAACTCCAGATGTCATTTTTCAAAACTTCTAAAAGAGTGACTTTGATCATGTAAAATACAAATTAGCACCTTCAAATTTACAAAAATGATTCTTTGGGGATAATTAGGCATATTTTTTACATTTGTTGGGCATTTGGTTGGCTGTACGTACCAGTGCAAATCAAATGGAGTTGAATTCATTTAAAGTTTACGTCAAAGTATTTGCACCAGAGAACTTGATTTCAGAACCTCTCTCAACAACGCAAAATAAGTTGAAAGATAGGCACGGTCATCATTGTTCCAGAAATCAGCCATGACTTCCCTCATTTCATCAGACACTGGGAATTAATTCACTGCTGTTCACTTCAGGAAAAATGAACCCCCAAAGTTGAACATTGTCTAATGGTCCATATTTGGAGGAACCTGCCAACTCTGTAGGATGCTATTTGTTATACTTGATTTAATTAAGAGTAATTTTGATCATGGTCTATTGCTTAACATGCTTTTGATTCATGAATACCCTGTGCCCAAAGCACTTTTATTAAAATGGTTATGATGCTCATATTCAGCCTGATCATAAAAGCTCTGACCCCAACCAATGCTGCCTCATTCAGTGCGAGTTAGTGAAACTGTGGCGAATGATATCTATGCTCAGACTTCTAGAAATTCGGGTCAGCACCCAGATTTGGATTTACAGCCCTTTGTTGCTTTTGATTTCTTGGTCACAAAAATATGTTACTAATTTGTTGGTCGCACTCAAAACATTTTGTGAAAAGATTCATACTATGTCATCCTGTCTGTAAATATGTACAGCCACTAAGGATTATAAATTCATTTTTCATTTTCTTTTTTTTAAAAAGAACTTGCCAACAATAATTCCAATCAGGATGCTGAGGAGTCCAATGATAAAAAGGTAGTAGTCAAACTTTGAGTTGTATTTCTCTTTCAGATGTTTCAAGTTGCATTCCAACTGTAAACACACCTGTGCTGTTAATGGCTGAAATCATTAATTTGGCCACAGTGATCATTACGAAATCATTCAGCTACCTAACTATTGAACAGTCACCAGTTAGCACATCTCCAAACCTGTAGTCACACCCGGCATTCCCATGCACAAGTCTGGAATTTTACTACATTTGTTGGTTCATGGATCCAGGCATGAAGTCATGAATTGCCTGGTACTCAAACTAAAGTAGACTCACTTCTGTTTTTGCAGACATAGCTGAAAGTTTTATTCAACACTGGTATTTCCTTACGGATTTGCTTTATTCATTTTGTCATCATTTGACAGAGACAACAAGAATCACACAAAAGGAAAGTGGGGCCAGATTCCTATGGGTAACTTTGCTGAATAATTTTTTTTACTTTGATATCAAGCCTTCAGCCTTGTTTAGATATCCTTTGACAATTGTTATACTTGTCATTGGCACAAGAGCATTACATATGCTCGAAGGTTAAAGTAGACACCATACCTCAGTCCTACGTATTGGCATCCAAAGATAATAGTTTATTGAAAGGTTTATGAAGTTCATAACAGAAAGTGGTGTGAGAATCAAGTTAGTTTCCATGTGTAATGCATTTGTAATTGCAAAGTCTTTGAATGTGACTGTTTTGTTCATTTTTGTCCCTGTAGACCCAACATGGTTATTCATGTCTGCGATGAGGCCAAAAATGGTATGTAATATGTAGGCCGTTGAAAAAAAATTGTTTTGATACATGTATCTCAAGATTACCGAGACAACTGATCAGTGTAATTTTCTACCAGCCACAATGTGAGTCCTGAATTTATGGCTTGTGCAAGGCATATGCCCTAGAACGCATACATGTATGGCACAGGCAGAATGAAAAGAGGAACTAGCAGGTCATGATCTGAGAAGCTTTTGTCAGAGGAATTAGTGGTTCTAAATTGAACAACGGGTAAGATAATTTAACCTCCGAGGTGTTGATGTGTAGTGAGACAGTTACTTTACATTGGGCTAGATTTTTTTTTCAAGTGGTGATTAAAAGGGACAGTACGGTGTGCTTCAAGTTAACTTCTGAGGACATATTTTATTTTACCACTTTTGAGGACGTATGCAGAGTGAACAAAATAGTTGTCCTTTCCTCAGAGGTCACTCCTTTGTTCGGTTCTGTCCTCAGTGGTAAGTTCCTGTACTTAGTCTGTTGGAAAGTGTTATGTTTAGGAACAATAGAAAATAATTGTCTTGTCTCCAGTGTTATACACCATCGTCAAACATGATGTCTTTTTCTAATAATTGATAGATATTTGAACTTTTTAAAGTTTCCCTTATGACTCGACACAAGGATCTCATTCACTTGCCGAGTAGAGTAATCCTGTGTTTTCTTCTCTGAATCACAGTCAAGAAGGATTTCACCTGCCCTAGGGACCTGCTGGTCACTGAGATGCGATATTTTGCCGAGTACCTCTCCAGTGACACCCAGCGATGGGAGGAGGTGGACATATCCGTCCACTGTGACGTCCAGATCTTTGACTGGTTGATGTGTTACGTCAAACGCAACTGCCCCGGATCACAGACGAGACAGACTCCTAATCTTGGTGAGTTGTCATCCAAAACAGGCTGATTACAATCAGATTTTATTATTTTATTGCATTGTGCCAATCACTTATATAGTTTGAAAAGAACTGACATCTTAGTGCTGCGTGTGATTAATAGCAAATGTGAATTTTTGTCTCGTTTCTTTATTCTCAGAGGCCAGCAACGTAATCTCCATCCTGATATCTTCAGACTTCTTGAAAATGGATTCTTTGGTAAGTTTTTCCTTCAAATTGTGTTTATATTCTTACTGTTGAAGGTATTCTAATTGTATTTAAATCACGAAGAATAAAGGCATACTGTCGGCGTACAGTCAGCGTTGTTTCTTAATCAGTGTTAAAATTGTACAAAACTGACCATTTTTTACTGCTCCATTTAGGTGAACGAGTGCATAGATTTCTGCCACAAGAACATGTCTGCCATCGTTGCAACGCCATGCAACATGAATTGCATCAATGATAAACTTTGCACGAGGCAAGTCAATTTCCCATATAACCTGTACTATCATTCAGGATTCCTTTGCAGCCGTTGTCTGGAAACAGGATTTTCAATTTGGGACTTTCTGGTCTTCTGAAACCCAGTGTGTGGTTGGTCAACTTTGAATGCCAATTTTTGTTTGTAATTGCTCCTTCCACAGAATTGCTGATCTGTTTACTGACCTTGAAGTTGATGAAGTCAAAGATAGAAAGGATAAATTCAAAAGGTATAATATTTTACGTAAATAAACATGAAAATTCCACGCGCATTGAGACACAGTTGATGAGGCTGTTTTTCTGGAGCTAGACCGAAGCTCACCTGCAACAATCCTCAATGCAAATCCATATATGCCAATGCAAATTAAACTCAATCAATTTTTTTTTTGTACAGTAACTATACTTGAATTTTGTTTTTTTTCATTACATGTAGTTGCACTTTCTGGGTATTTCTTTCCCAGCACATTGTAATCTTTGGGAAAACTGTTCCTTAACCCTAACCCCCCAAGGGTTGCTGGCCCTAACCTTCCCCATTCATACAAAGTTAAACACCCATATAGGACTTTGTGCACAGAGGCTGTTGGACTTTGTTTTTCTGAGGTATGCTAAACCCAATGCAAAAGCCTACCAAACCTATCCCCTCGGAAATAAACACTTTACTACTGTTAAATTCCAATATGTTGGCTTATACAAGTACTTCTTTTTGTGTAGTTCATTTGTAAAGTCTTTGCCGTCATTCTTTGGAGGTTTGCAACTGGCCAAGTTCCGTTATCTTTTCCTTTTTTCCAGCAAATTGTTCAGCAAGAAAATAGAGGCAATGTTTGAAGGCACTAAGCCAGCCACAACTTTGTACAGGTAAGGCGACAGTGGTTTGGACCCCCCGTCATCACTGGTTAAGAAACTCAAGCAGCCTTAATGTTTTTTTGGTCATAAAAGTCACTGACAAATAATATTTGACACAATGTTTTACTCACACTGGACTAAACCAAAACCAATTCCTTTAAACTGCCAAATTATCCGTTTTTAAACAGCGCAGAAGCTATGCAGGAGACCGTGAACAAAACTCAATTTGGTCAATGGCAATAGAAAGATCTTTGCTGTTGTCCTCCACTCATTTTCCTGTTGTTTCCTATCTGCAGGTGCCTCTACTGCAGGCGTCTTCTGACAGAGGAACTCCGGTCCAAACTGAAATGTATTTCGACCAGGTGAGAACAGGAACCCAAAATGGAACAGTTTGAAGTTCCATTGCAAGCTTAAGGGTATCAACCAAAGCTGTAGCTTAACGTTGTTACCACATTGTCAGATTGGTCATTCAAAGGCTCGCTTGTCTGTAAAGATCAGATGGAAGTCACAGGTAATTTGTCATTACTTTTTTTTTTTGTGGATAGAAAAATTCTAAAATGTGGTTGCAGTGTCTAAGCACCTGCTCATTTCAATCCTTCCACCCCGTCCACACAAATTGTTTTAAAAGGAAAAGTTCAAGAAGTTATTAAATCAAGATGTACTTGCATATCTTTCTCTTGAAAGGATGAGCATCGACAGGCAGGGCAATGTGGTTTATCACCACCAGAGGTGAGTTGAACCCTGACAAAATCCCTTCTGTTTTTTAAACTTCAGCGGTTGATGGTACCTCAGTGCAAACTTATTCCTGTTCCGGCAGAAGTTTGAATATTTTCTTACTGAAAAAATGAAGTGAACAAGCTGGCTATGATACAGATAGTCCTAGAAGCTCTTTAGGGATAAAATAGCGAATTGTGATGCATTTTAAAATTCTACAAATTCTACTTGGCAAATTACAGTATTGGTATCCGTGCTCGTGAGCAGTGTTGTTGTCAAGATCTCTTAAGACCTTCACAAGACCATCACAAGACCTCCAGTCTGAATTTAAGTCACATTTAAGTCAGAATTTAAGTGAATTTAAGCTATGCAAATGAACTATACTAAAAGCATTCCTTTGTCATTGTTCACCCTGCTACTTGTGACTGGCCTTGTGAATGGTCTTGTGGTGGTCTTGACTACAGGACTGCTCATCAGGATTATAACGCATTTCTCTGGGGATTCTATGCTGTCACTGCTGCTATTTGAGACTCGGGGGTTAATTATGCCAAAAAGAATCTCTGCCCACAAGTATTTTGTCTGAGTGTTTATAAGTTAGATGTTTTAACTCTCGGCGCTTCGTTCATCTCTGTGTTCTGCAGGGACCCTGCCTGGGATGTCAACGACTACATCCTGGCTCTTCGCTCTGAGCTCAAGTCTTGGCGGGAGGTATACTGGCGCCTCTGGGCCACCGTCACCCACCTGCCCTGCTCCCGCTGCAAGCAGGTGTTCCCCTGCAGCGAGCTGGGCCACTGCCGATTCCACCCCGAGCCGCCAAAATTTGATAACTCGTCGTCCTCCACTGGGACTTACCTATGCTGTCAGCAGAAGACATTGAGATTTGACCCACTGAATCAGAACACTGTAAGTGTTGACGATGTGGTTCAACCACAATTTTTTAACAGATCATGGTCATGTGTGACCCAACCTAGCTGGATGAACGACAGAAGTGGTTTTGATCCAAATGCCTTTTGAAGAACCTTGCACTAACCAACCCTCTTTTTTCATTCATATAATGCCCATATTTTTATCAGAACATCAGACTGAGCGATTCTTCAAAACAGAGCTCTGTCGGCTGCTTCTAAAGCAAACAGAACACAACTACTCAAAAAGGGCCTTCAGACCCATTTGTGTTGGGATCCTGTCATACATGACAGTATATGGCCACTCTCCAATGAGAATTCGTTTTAATCAAAACGAATGTTGTTGCTACCTCACATTTGCGAGTAACGTTTCCCTCAGTTTATCAGGCAAAAATTGTTCAAGTGCCGTTTGAAAAATGGTAACATTCACTTCTAGACACTATACTTGGATTTTGCAGGGGTCAGTTAAAGCCATGTGTTGCCATGGTAACAGACTGATACCTTTGTAACCTCCTTTTTTGGGGTGTAAAGTGGCACAACGTCTCACTGCACTGTAAAAAGTAATCATACAGGAAATATGAAGACATCAGCCTTGCTATCTCTTCATGTTGGTTGTTTTCCAACATTGCTGCCTTCACAACAGTACCCAGCACGA